GAGCGGGGTGGGGAAGGGCTTTGGGTGACTGAGTGGGCGCTGCCGTCCCGGAGGTGTTTAGCACCGACAGACCCCCTGGAGCGAGGGACCCCCGGCAAGGCGTCCCCCTGCTCGGCCCTGGTCCCCCCTGCTACATGGGGGGCACCAGCTGGGTCCCCCCCCAAGCTGCCTCCGATCCCACCATCCCGCCCCAGGACCCTGGGCAGTTTGGCCCCGGATTTCGGGAGCCACCCGGCACCCACCAGGGCTGGTGACGCTGCGTGGGGCTGCTGGCATGGAGGGGTGGGGGACAGGGATGGGGTCCTCCCCGCTTCTGCCACCAAAAGGGACACTGGGGGGGACAGGATGCTTGGAGAGGAACCAGGGATGGGAACAGGGAGAGGGTGGGGTAGTTGCAGCCTCCTGCCCCACCACACCGCTCCTGGGTCGGACCTTTGGGCACAACAGCCCTGCCCTGGGGGTCTCCCATCCCCACAGGGCACCAGGAGCTCAAGAAGACGGGGTGACCCCCCCAGGTGATCTCTAGCAGCCCCACACTCAAGGAGGAGACACTGGCCATGTCCACGCTCCTGTCCCACCCTCCATGATCCCCAGCACTGGGGGTGCAAACGGGCTGTGGGGGGAAGAGGCCCCACCAGCAGCAAGGCACGAGGGGGACTGTATCCCCCCTCCCCGGCTAGTGCCACACTGCAGAGGTGCTCCCGGGCTGCAGGCTGGAGGGTGACCCCCTGGGTGATCTCTAGCAGCCCCACACTCAAGGAGGAGACACTGGCCATGTCCACGCTCCTGTCCCACCCTCCATGGGGTGACCCCCCCAGGTGATCTCTAGCAGCCCCACACTCAAGGAGGAGACACTGGCCATGTCCACGCTCCTGTCCCACCCTCCATGATCCCCAGCACTGGGGGTGCAAACGGGCTGTGGGGGGAAGAGGCCCCACCAGCAGCAAGGCACGAGGGGGACTGTATCCCCCCTCCCCGGCTAGTGCCACACTGCAGAGGTGCTCCCGGGCTGCAGGCTGGCAGGAGGGATGGACGGAGGGACAGACTGATGGGGAAGGAGGGCTGAGGGGGAAGGGGAGAAGCGCGTCGCGATGCTCCGTGCGAGGGAAGCGGGGACGGCTCGCCGTGACCGGGGGGGGGTTTCTGCTGCTCTGCTCCGTCCCACCAGCCGGAACACAGCGCTGCTCACGTGTAGTTTCTGGTTTATTCCTCAGGTTATATTTATATATGTATAGAGGGGAAGGAGCCCTGGGTCCCCCCTGTGGCACCCAAGCCGGAGGCAGGAGGGGGCATCGCACGGGAGC